CTCCATCTCCCAGGCTCAAGCAATTCTCCTGCTTCAGCCTCCCAAGTAGCTGGGACTACAGGTGCCCGCCACCATGCCTGGCTAATTTTTTTTATTTTTTAGTAGAGATGGGGTTTCATCATGTTGGCCAGGCTGGTCTCAAACTCCTGACCTCATGATCCACCTGCCTTGCCTCCCAAAGTGTTGGGATTACAGGTGTGAGCCACCGCACCCAAACTGGATGGTTTTTCTTTTAACAATTGTTACATTTCAGGTGCTGTTTAGGGATCTTCCTGATACTCTCTCTAGGCTGAACACGAATAAACTCTGTGTGTGTCTGGGAATATAACATGAGTGCCGACATACCTGCCAGTCTATCTCAGATGCCCTGCGGTCATAGTGGGGTTTGCAATCCACAAGCCTCTTCAGAATGCCCTGGTTTTCCATGGTGATTCTCGCTAGCTCACGGTTCCTTGTTTCCCTGTTTAAGCTGAAAAACACAAAACCCCGACATGGGTGAAGAGGGAAATGATCATCTTCACGAGTGGGGGAGATGAAGTCATGAGATTATAAATGCCAGGCTGCCTAAGTGCAGGGAGTAAACTGTCCTGCTGAGCCCACAGCCCCGTGGGGCAGCCCATCGATCTGCACTGCACTCTGGGAAATGTGACAGCATTTGCAGGTTCATATCAGTGGTCCTCAGCCCTGTTGGCCATGAGAAGATTCTACTTTATTGGTCTGAGGTGAACCTTGGGTATTGGCATTTTGTTAAAATTCCCGAAGGATTATAATGTAAAACCAGGATTGGGGAAAGGTCTCCCTGTGGATAAATCACAAATGGCTGGCGACAAGTTTTGGGTCACCTCACTCCACTCAGCTTTCAATTTATACCAGAATATACCAGGATATAGGAACAGCATCTTGACCACCTCCTTCCTCCAACAAAATTCTTTTTTTATTTTTTTTGAGACAGAGTCTCACTTTTGTTGCTGAGGCTGGAGTGTGGTGGCGTGATCTCAGCTCACTGCAACCTCTGCTTCCCAGTTCAAGTGATTCTGCTGCCTCAGCCTCCCTAGTAGCTGGGACTTCAGGCCCTCACAACCAGTACTGGCTATTTTTTTTTTTTTTTTGGTCTGTATTTTTAGTAGAGATGGGGTTTCACCGTGTTAGGATGGTCTCTATCCCCTGACCTCGTGATCTGCCCACCTCGGCCTCCCAAAGTGCTGGGATTACAGGAGTGCACCACTGCGCCCGGCCCCCACCCCTCACCGAATTCTTTCCCTTGCATGTGCTTCTTTTGTATCCCTAATCACACTGCATTGTCATTATTTACATAAATGTCTCTCCTACAAGACCTTGAGTTCTTTGAAGTTAGGAAATAGACATCTCATTTCATCTCTCTTATCCTTGGTACCTAGCACATAGTAGTTGCTCAGGAAAGATTTCTGGAATCCATTTTAAGAATGCTACATCATAGCCCCAGCCAGAGAGCTATGGTCCAGATGTCTGTGTTCCCCAAAATTCTTCTGTTCAAATCCTAACCCCTGAGTGATGGTATTAGGAGGTATGCCTTTGAGAGATGATTCCATCACCCTAATGGAATTAGTGTCCTTATGAAAGAAGCCTGAGAGAAACCCCTTGCTCCTTCTGCCACGTGAGATTACAGTGAAAACATGGCTGTCTATGAAGCAGGAAGTACCTTGATCTTTGCACTTCTTGCCTCTAGAACTATGAGAAATAATTTTTTGTTGTTTATAAGCCAACGGTTTATCGCATTTTGCTATAACATCCTATAATGTACTAAGACACATGGCCACCATTTTATAAAAGTGGGCAGTGCATTCTTGTGACAAACTGAATAGGACTCTGAAAGTCTCTTAGATGAAAGAAAAGTTAGCACTTTAATGCTAGAGAAAGCTCCCCATTTTTTTTTCTTTTTTGAGACAGAGTCTCACTCCATTGCCAGGTGCCAGGCTGGAGTGCAATGGCGCGACCTTGGCTCACTGCAACCTCCGCCTCCCGGGTTCAAGCAATTCTCCTACCTCAGCCTCCCGCGTAGCTGGGATTACAGGCATGCACCACCATGCTCAGCTAATTTTTGTGTATTTTTAGTAGAGATGGGGTTTCACCATGTTGGCCAGGATGGTCTCGATCTCTTGACCTCGTGATTCGCCTGCCTTGGCCTCCCAAAGTGCTGGGATTACAGGCGTGAGCCACCGTGCCTGGCTCCATTTTTAAGATTTTCATTCTCCATAACATGGTCTCTTTGGTTCTCCCTCAAGATGACTTCCCTTAAGTACTCCTCTGGCTTGGGAAAACCTCACACTAAAACCCAAGAGGAAAGTCAAGTTTGACTTTCCAAAACTGAAATGAAGACAAAGGCATTACCTCTTAGAAAAATATTCATTCCAGCAATCCACCTTGGCAGGGCCACGATGGGCATTTGCGATTTTCTGACAGAGTTGCTTGTTTTCATACTCTATTTTGTCGATTCTCTTTTGTTCACCCTGGTAAGAAACCACACCATCATGTGACACCATCAGTACACTGCCCCAACACACAATGACTTAGCTTCCCCCTCCTCTGAGATTGTGGCAGAGGGGTGAATTGAGGGCCACAGTGAAGACTGGGAGCAGAACTTAAAAAGACTTGGGGGCTGGGTGCAATGGCTCACACCTGTAATCCCAGCACTTCGGGAGTCTGACACGGGCGGATCATGAGGTCAGGAGATCAAGACCATCATGGCTAACACGGAAAAACCCTGTCTCTACTAAAAATACAAAAAATTAGCTGGGCATGGTGGCATGTGCCTGTGGTCTCAGCTACTTGGGAGGCTGAGGCAGGAGAATGGCTTGAACCCCGGAAGGCAGAGACTACAGAGAGCTGAGATTGTGCCACTGCACTCCAGCCTGGGAGAATACAGTGCGACTCCATCTCAAAAAAAAAAACACTAAAACAAAAACAACAACTGGGGGGTGATGTGTATGGGGAGGAGAAATATTAAATCTTTGAGTAGATGGGTATTTAGAAGGCTCTGGGAAATTGAACCTCTTTAGGACATAGGCTGGAAGTCAATAAAATACATCTGCAGGCAGCAGGAACAAATACCTGTAGTTTGCTCAATTTTAAAAGGTGATGTGTGTGTGCCACTGGAGGTTTTGTATCAACAGTAGGCTTCACTAGAGAAGGGAGATGAAAGACAGCAATGTTACATCACAGGAATTCCAGTAGCAGCCTCAAAAACCAGCACTAGACAATGTCCTTGACTAAGGAACAATTTCGAATTAGGACCTGAATGTGGCTTAGGAAGTTTTGTTTGGTTTAATTTACCAGAGGGACATCTCTGAGGAGTTTTGAACAGAAACGAAAGAACAGTGAGAGCTAGTAAAAGTAAAATTTACAAAGATAAATGTCCTTTTAATCCAATGAAAGAGCCTCTCTTGCAACCTTTTTCCAATATGCTAGCCTGTCCATTGGCTTCTGAAGTCCTATCCTCTTACTAACGTACTTGGCTTTAAAGAGTTTAAAGAAGTATTTCCATCCAGTGAACTCCCTGGTGGAAGATAAATTTTGTTATTGGTGCTAATGCCCTCTTGCCCAAACTCAGCAGAGAAGACCATGACCTGGTCTGATTTACTGTCCATCTCTCTAGGGGGTACCATTCCAAAATCCCTAATAGCAGTGTCTAGCCCAAACTGCCCACATACCTATTTGTACTCTATTCTTGTGAGATAGATAGTGGCCAAAGTCCAGTTTCCTTCTGAAGGTTGTGCTTTGTCTGTGATTACAGACGATAACAGGGTAGGCCAGATAATTCAGGGAATTGTTCATCTTCTCTTCCTAGTCTCACTTTTGAAATGAGGCACCCAGACTCCTCTGTGAGGTGCCTAGCTGTCCCCCTGACAAGTTGTCATAGTTACCCAGTTATGACATCAGGGACAGGTCTCAGGAAAGGAGTAGGAGTAGCGGAGCATGCTCGCTGCCTCTGGGCTTCTGTGTTTGATGCTAACCTAGGCTCAAGTCAAGATGAAGGTCAAGGGACTCGAAACCTTTTCCCCCTGCTTACAATACAGATGCTGCCAAACAACATCAGAAGGAAAGGAGTGGTGCGCCGGGAGGGGTGGGCAGGCACGGGGTGGGGTGAGGGATACAGAAATTCCAGCCTTGGTTACACATCTTGGGCTATCAGCTAAGTAGTCTCCACTGCAATAGCTCCCCTGAAGGTGCAAGACCACAGGTTTTTGGGGAAGGAGAAAGTTGACGCTAATGATAATCTGATGCAATTTGTTTGCAGACGAGGAAACTGAGGACCACAGCAGCAGCGCTACTCAAGAACCACGTCGGTGGCAGGGCTGGGGTCAGGATGTGGGTTTCCTGAATTCAAGGCCAAATTTGCTCTTTTGCAAGGAGGAAACTGCCAGTTTTACATGGCAGTGGGGGAGGGTGGCTTTCCTGCAGGAGGAGACTGTCTTTCGTACTTAGTGGGAGTTCAGGAAATGCTGAGTGGCTTATGGTGGGCTGGCATCTGCTCCAGGAAGGACTGTAGGAGCCTGATTTATCTCCACGCCAGCACAGGGTGTAGCACCCACTGGGCGCTCAGCGCATTTGCTGAGGAAGGACCAACACATTGAGTGCTCGCGATGTGCAGTGCTGGGTTCCTTCCTTGAATGTCACATTTAATCCTTCCAGCAACCCTAGGAATTAGGTACTATTACTACCCCCTCCTTTTTTTTTTTTTTTAAGCAAATAGGTTAGGTTAATTCCTTGGAATTCCCAGGCTGATTGCTTTTAAGCACGACGCTCTCAATAAATGTTGACAGCAGACGCGCCCCAGAGTAGAACTTCTCAGACTTTGACCTCCCTGGGTCCGTGAAACGTCCACTCTGATCCAGCAGGGCTGGGCTGCGGGGATTCTGGCGAGGGCCCGGGAGAGGCCTCCGCAGCAGGAAGCCGTTCCGGAGCCGAACCCGGCCGCCCCTGTAATCCAGAAAGACTGAAGCGACCTCTAGGTGTACCCCGCAATGGAAACGTTTATTAGGCCCTGCATTTGGTTAGGGGAAGGAAGCGACCGCGCTTCCCAGTTCATAAAGATACACCAACGGCTTGGACCGGGGGCCCGAGACTCGAGGGCAGCGGCGTTTCCCCCCGGGGACGCGCCCACGAGCGGCGCGCGGAGCCCCTGCGTCACAGCGCCCGCGCTCCGCACTCCCCGAGCCCGGCTGGTCCCTGGCGGCTCCCGGCGCGAGCCCCCGCCCAGCTGACCCGCCGCTCTCCCCGCCGCTTGCTCCGCCGGGCTTGCAGGGCCCCGCCGCCGCCATGTCGGGCTCGTTTGACAGGATCTCAACGACCTGCTCTCTGACGGCAGCGGCTGCTCCAGCCTCCCGAGCCAGCCGTGCAACGATGTCACCCCGCGGATCTACCTGGGCAACGCGTAACCGATGCTGGGGTGGCGGCGTAGCGAGGCGTGGGGCGGGGGAGCCGGGGCGCTGTTGCCCCTCCGGGAGCCACAGCGGGGGCTTGGGAGGGGGCTGGAGTCGACGCCACCCCAGCGCGTGGGGCCGAGGGACCGTAAACCTGCCCGGCCGGGCGCGGCCCTTCCCGGTCGCAGGGTGCACGGAGCCCGGGGGTCGAGCTGTTGGGGCTTGGCCTTGGGCGGGGTCGCGGCTACCATGTTCACCTATCGGGTGGCCCTTGGCCGCCTGGCCGGTCTCCTGCCCGCGCGTCATGTGACAGCTGCCTGGTTTGCAGTGAGGTCACCGCGGAATGTCTGCCTTCGCCGCCATGGCCACGGGCTGACGTCGCAATTCGGGCGTGGAATTTTCCTGGCCGGACAGTCCCGGATCAGGGAACTTAAACACCCCAAACGAGGCAGTCCGGGGAGCTGGACCGGGATTTCCAGGCCTCTTCTCCCACCTTCCAGATGTGGTTTGATTTACATGAGATTCTAGAACGGTCCAGTGATAAGCCCCTAAGGACCTGAGCCACCACCTAGAAAAGGCTCTTGACCTTTCATCCCCAGGAAATGCATTTATTCTTGATCATTTATGAGTTCTTCTTACCAGATTGATTACCCCATTTTCTATTACTCAAACTACTAGTAAGAATTTTTTATTTAAATTTTAAATTTTTTCTAATGAGAGTGTCTAATCAGCAGGAGGGAACCAGTGTTAGCATTCTGAGATGTGAAATAGGACCCGCGAGAAAGAACAGATTAGCATGCCAGGACAGCCTCGGAAAGGCTCAGGCTGGATTTTCATGAGACTCTGAGGACCCAGTTACCATAATCCTAAGCTCCACGCCTCAGCCCAAGGATGGCATGTTGAAAACTCAAAACTAACCCTCCTCCCATTTCAGAGGAAGAAATGGTGGTTCAGAGTGTCTGAGGGAGTACGAGGACAGAGTCCATGTCTTGTTCGTGTCTGTATTCCTTGACCTCCGCTAAGACCTGCTGCTTAGCCCGCCAAGGACTGCCACAGAAATGGGGGTCATCGTGGAACTAGAAGGGGTCCAGCAGTCAGGACCCAACCTCCTGGGGACAGTTCTCATCCGTTCCATCATTCATTCACTAGTCTGAGCAACTACTGTGTGTCAGGCACTGTACAATGTTCATTCATAGTAGAGATAGAAATAATGATAACAGTAAATTTATTGAATGTTGAATTATTAATAGTATTAGAGAAGGGAGATGAACGGGAGTGACTCTTCAAAGTGTATTTTTCTATCAGCCACTGCTTTACAGTCTTGTGCAGTGTCCTAAGCAGGAATAGATAAAACAGTCCTACAGTGTCAGCCAAAGGCTTCAGGAATTGCAGAGCTCTGGAGATACCCTCCTGCCTGAGGCAGCAGGTGGGCCTTGTTGGCCTCAGGAACCCTGCCTGCTCCGGCAGCTTGGCCATTCAGCTGTCACCACTTCCCAAGTGGAAGCCAAGGTTGTGCACACCTGGTGTAGCCAGCGTGGCAACTGCTGATGGCTACTGTAGAAAATACATTCCTTGCCCTCTAAGCACATCTGACCTTGGCTTGGCCAGGGGTATGAGGGTTGCTCAGCAGGGAGGATCAGTGGGCACCAGGCACCAAGAGGACTTGGGCTGCATCCCCTTAACAAAATCAGGGCTGCAGCTGTGTCCTCACACGGCAGAGACAGAGCCTGTGTAAGCCACATTTGCCAGGCCTTGCAGCAGATGTGGGCATGAGAGACAGAGTGAGGTGGAAGATAGAGCGGGGCTGGATGTCGGAAGAAAGGAGGTCTTCTCACAGCTCTGCTGCCAGCAGCACGTGGGGCATGTGCCCATCCCTCTGCCCGTCCTGTTGAGTCAGAGTTCAAGCTCTGTTCAGTGGGGATGCTGCCATCCTTGTTCCTCATAGGGCTGCTCATAGTGGGCAAAGAAGATCACATAGGAGGTGGCATTTTATAAACTGCCATTTCGACTGGGATGTTTTGTCAGATGAAATAAAGGGCCTTTTCACCATTCAGATCAATTACTATTATTATTATTTTAAAACTTTTTTTTCTTTTTTAGAGACGGAGTCTCACTCTGTCAACCAGGCTGGAGTGCAATGGCACAATCTTGGCTTATTGCAACCCTACCCCCCAGGTTCAAGCAATTCTCCTGTCTCAGCCTTCTGAGTAGCTGGGATTACAGGCGTTTGCCACCATGCCTGCCTAGTTTTTCACCATGTTGGCCAGGCTGGTCTCGAACTCCCCACCTTAGGTGATCCACCCGCCTCAGCCTCCCAAAGTGCTGGGATTACAGGCATGAGCCACCACACCCGGCCTTAGATAAATTATTTTGTAACTTCCCATAGTTCTGTTATGGCCACTTGCTCCCCAAATACTAAATAATCCAAGAGAGCTTTGGAAATGTGGCCAGTGGGATGTGGCAGGTAGGATCCCTCTAGAAGGCAGGGAGGGGGCTCCCTGGCATGTGACGGATTTATTCTTCTGCACTCATTCACTGCTTATTTATCCAGCACCTACTATGTAGCAGGTACTGTAGCAGGTGTCAGGGAAACAGACTTGAAGCGGACATGGGTCCTCTCTCAAGGAGCTCACAGCCTGGATGTGTAAGCACAGTCAAGCATTAGAATCGTAGCATTCACTACAGTGTCAGGCTCTGGCCATGGAATAGCCCACTTAATACTCATAACAACCTCAGGGAGAAGGTACTGTTACCCCATTTTACAGAGGGGAAACCGAGGCACAGAAGGCTTAAGGCTTAAGGTTGCCTGGCTAGTGACCGGACTGGAGGCAGACCCAGTTATTCTGGTTCCAGAGCCCATTTTTAGCCAGTTGGCTATGTACACCCACACCACAGCTCAGGGAGCATGGGGCCACATGGATTGGAGGGGAGACAAACACTGCAGAGGGTGTGAAAGATGAGAGGGCGCATATTTCCAGAGAGGGTGGGAAAGAGCGTTCCAGACAGAGGGGACAGCGTGGCTATGAAACCACCAGTCTATTTGGGGAAGCTGCTGGCAATCCGCTATGGCCCGAGTGAGGGAAGAGGTCATAAGATGAGGCAGGAGAAGCTGGCAGGGGCCAGAGCATGGAGGGGTTCCTTGCTTTGCCAAGCAGCTTAGATCCTTCTCCATCTTCCTCCTGCTGGGGCTGCCATTTGGTTGGTTAATCATACCCCCAATTGTCTCCCATCCAGGTCTGTGGCGCAGGATATCCCTAGGCTGCAGAAACTGGGCCTCACCCACGTCCTAAACGTGGCAGACGGCAGGTCCTTCATGCACGTCAACACCAATGCCAACTTCTACAAGGACTCCAGCATCACCTACCTGGGTATTAAGGCCAATGACACACAGGAGTTCAACCTCAGCACTTACTTTGAAAGGGCTGCTGACTTCATTGACCAGGCTTTGGTGCAAAAGAATGGTAAGGGACTTGCTGCCAGGAAAAGATGGGAGGCAGCGTTGAAGGACCGTCCCTGTGGAAAACAGGCCCACAACAGGTGTCTTCTGGGAAACCCCCTCATTTCCTATCTTCTGTGGTCAATGACAGACCATAGAAGATAGGAAATGAGGGTCTCTCTCTGTGGGTCTCTCTCTGCTCACCTGGCTGCCTGTCCAGTGGACCCAGGTGTCACAGGATGTGCAACTCATTCACGCGATGGCAGCTCCAGGGACCTTGCGTTTGATCGCACTTTGGCTGGGGCTTGGTTTCCAGTTGCTTACACACCCCCCATTTAAACAGCTGTAATGATGAGGAAAATATGCTAATGTGCATGGTGAGAAGGCCTGCGGTGAAGGAGCAAGGGGGCTGGTTGATCTGGGGATGGTTGATTCGGGGTTGGTTGATTCAGCAGCTCCACGGTGGCATCTGGACCAGACCCTTTTCCCTTCGTTTTTTATTTTCGAGACAGAATCTCCCTCTGTTGCCCAGGCTGGAGTGCAGTGGCGTAATCTCAGCTCACTGCAACCTCTGCCTCCTGGGTTCAAGCGTTCTCCTGCCTCAGCCTCCCAAGTAGCTGAGGCTACAGGCACATGGCACTGCGCCTGGCTAATTTTTGTATTTTTAGTAGAGATGGGGTTTCACCATATTGCCCAGGATGGTCTCAATCTCTTGAACTCCTGATCTGTCCACCTCGGCCTCCCAAAGTGCTAGGATTACAGGCATGAGCCACTGCGCCAGGGGGCCCTTTCCCTTTCTCTCTTCTGCCACCTGTGTTGGGTGTTCCTCTCATGGTCCCAAGATGGTGTCAGGTTATCCCTTCCCAGTAGGACAAAGGGCAGCAGATGAGGCACTGCAGTCATCTCTTCCCACGTTTTTCTCTTTCTCCCTTTTTTTGTAAGTCAGAGTTTCGCTCTTGTTGCCCAGGCTGTAGTGCAATGGCATGATCTTGGCTCATTGCAACCTCCGCCTCCCAGGTTCAAGCCATTCTTCTGCCGCAGCCTCACAAGTAGCTGGGACTACGGCAAGCACCACCATCTGGCTAATTTTTCTATTTTTAGTAGAGATAGGATTTCTCCATATTGGCCAGGCTGGTCTCAAACTCCCAACCTCAGGTGATCCACCCATCTTGGCCTCCCAGAGTGCTGGGATTATGGTGTGAGCCACCTTGCCTGGCCACTCTTCTCTTTTTTTAAGGAGACAGAGTCTTGCTATGTTGCCTAGACTGGTCTTCTCCAACTCCTGGGCTCAAGCAATCCTCTCACCTCAGCTTCCCGAGTAGCTGAGACTACAAGCAGGTGCCACCCTGCCTGGCCTCTCTCTTTTTCTAAGAGCAAGTAAAACATTCCCCAGAACCCCCACTCACATCTCACTGGCTAGGGATTCACATGACGGCCTGGCAAAGGGAAACAAAGGTAGCTGTGGTCAGCTTAGGCTGGCAGTCAGCAAAGCACAGACCCCCCTGGGCAAATCTTCCAGCCACTTAAATAACTTCCTGCAGCCTCCAAATATAAGGTCAGACTGCGGGAGAACTACCAAGGCGCTGGCCGTCACCAAGGCATTCCGGCAAGAAGCCCGAGAAGGCCGCATAGCAGACATCAGCTGAGGCTGGGCCACTCGCCCTTTCTCCCTTTCTGCTTTTAGCTGTTTTTCTTTTTTTTTTTTTGAGATGATGTTTTGCTCTTTTTACCCAGTTGCTGGAGTGCAATGGCGCGATCTCGGCTCACCGCAACCTCCGCCTCCCGGTTCAAGCAATTCTGCCTCAGCCTCCCGAGTAGCTGGGACTACAGGCACGTGCCACCATGACCAGCTCATTTTTGTATTTTTAGTAGAGACGGGGTTTCACCTTGTTGACCAGTATGGTCTTGATCTCTTGACCTTGTTATCCACCCGCCTCGGCCTCCCAAAGTGCTGGGATTACAGGCGTGAGCCACTGCACCCGGCTTTTAGCTGTTTTTCTCAGCTCCTTCCTTTACCTCTCCCTCCCTCTGCACCCCACACCCTCCCAGGAAAAGGACCCCACAAAGTATGATCAGCCTTGCCTCTACCACACTGATGCTTCTTGAGCCTGGCAGCCTCACGTCAGAATGATTTCCAGGACACAGAATGTTCTAGACCACTGGACAGCACGCGCTCAGGGCTCAGAGAGAAGCTTCACTGTGGGAGAATCTGCAGACTTTGCTGACAGGCCCCCCATGGTCCTTCCAGGTCACCCCCTCCACTCTGGCTGCGCTAAGCTCCTCAGCCTGTGTAGACACGGGCCGGCCCAAGGGGAAGGATTCTGCTGTTCTCGTGTAGTATCGATGGGCCATTCACTCGCGGAGTTTTGAGCTCTCCGACTTTGTTTCCTCTTTCCAAACAACTAGGAACATGCCCTTTTTGCACCTCCTGTCTCAGTCCAGGTGTGCTGGGTTTTCAGTCTGAAAAGTTCTCTCTGCCTCTTCCTACCCTATCCTCGGGCAAACTCCACCTCATCCTTGGCACGGTGGCCTCTCTTCCATGAAGCCTGCCCTCAGCCTGGGTCCACTTTGTTCCTTGTCTGCCTCTTTAGCCCCTGGTGTAGCATCAGGTCCATAGTATGTATACTGCAGATGATTAATGAGCAAGTGATGATGAATTCCACGGGCTCTAATGCCAAGTATAAATGCTTCTAAGAAAGAGAGGCCAAGTGAGTCAACAGAAATATGCTGGCCTCCGACAGTGTGTGGGACCCAGGGACTCATCACAGAGAGCTGGGTGGGGTGCCTGAGAGTGCTCAAGAGGGAGTTACTTCCAGCAGGGAAAATCAAGGGAGGCTTCATGGAGGAGGTGGCATCTGGGCTGAGCCTAGGGTAATGAGAGGTTGAACTGTCCCCTTTCCCAGTAGGCTCTGTGTGCACTGGACCTACATGCAAAATATGTTCTAGATGGTGAGGTGGCTGCTCTGCAGAGGGTCTCATTCCTAGGGCGTGGCAGCGGGGGCCCCACTCTGAATATTTTGGGCGTATAGGCCGGAGGGTGAATAGGCAGGAAAGGGGAGGCCTCCTGCTTTTTTTTTTTTTTTGAGGTGGAGTTTCGCTCTTGTTACCCAGGCTGGAATGCAATGGTGCGATCTCGGCTCACTGCAACCTCCGCCTCCTGGGTTCAAGCAATTCTCCCGCCTCAGCCTCCTGAGTAGCTGGGATTACAGGCACGCACCACCATGCCCAGCTAATTTTTTGTATTTTTAGTAGAGATGGGGTTTCACCACGTTGACCAGGATGGTCTCGATCTCTTGACCTCGTGATCCACCCGCCTCAGCCTCCCAAAGTGCTAGGATTACAGATTCCTGCTTCTTGATTTGGAAGGCATTAGGAAAATAGAGTGGTGTTTTGCGGGTAGGGTGATGGGAGCAGAAAAGACTGTTGGACTCTGGGCTAGCAGATTTCTTGCCAAACAATGCCCTTATAGAGGTGTTAGTAGGTAATAATTCACTCAGCTAGTCAGCAAATATTTATTGAGCAGATAGTGTATGCTAGAGATTATAATGCATCCAAAAATCAATGCCCCACATTTCTTACCTTTTTTATTTTTTTTGACATAGTCTCGCACTTGTTGCCCAGGCCCAGGCTGGAGTGCAGTGGCTCGATCTCGGCTCCCTGCAACCTCCACGTCCTGGGTTCGAGCAATTCTCCTGCCTCAGCCTCTGAGTACCTGGGAGTAGAGGTGCCGGCCACCATGGCCAGCTAATATTTGTATTTTTAGTAGAGACAGGGTTTCGCCACCTTGGCCAGGCTGGTCTTGAACTCCTGACCTCAGGTGATCCACACACCCAGCCTCCTGAAGTGCTGGGATCACTGTGCCCAGCCATTTCTTGCTCTTAAGGAACTCATCTTCTCGGAGAGAAGAGTCGACCTGTGCATGGCTGGCAGTGACACAGGACCAGGGCTGCTGTAGTTGAGGATGTACCAGGTGCCACCAGAGAGTCCTGGGTAGTGTTTATTGAGTGCTCATGGATGCCGGGTGCTAGCCTAGGGGATGTGTCATTTCCTTTAATCTTCCAACCACCTGGGCAATGGGTACTATTGGCCAGATAAGAAAACTGAGGCACGTTGAGGTTAGGTGGATCACAAGTTAATAACCAGAGTATTGGTCAGGATTCTCTAGAAAAAGCAGAACTAATAGAATATACAGTTGGTCCTCTGTACCCATGGGTTCCACATCTGTGGATTCAACCAACCACAGACTGAAAATATTAAACTGCATAAAAGGATGTTATGTCTGTACTGAACCTGTACACACTTGTTCTTGTCATTCTCTAGATGATACAGTATAACTGTTTACATTGTATCGGGTATCATAAGTCATCTGGAGATGATTTAAAGTGTAAAGGAGCATGCGCACAGCTTATGTGCATATGTCCTTTTATATCAGGAACTTGAGCATCTGTGGGTTTGGGTATCTGCAGGAGGTCCTGGAACTAATTTTCCCGGTGGATGTTGTGAGATGATGTCTATTTATATACACACACACACCATATTAAAATATATATATTTTTATTAAAAAAACCTATAAATACATATATATATTTTACAAATATATACATAATTATATAATTGTATTTATATATTTAAATCTGTACAATGGTATAATTTACATAAAATATATTTAATATAAACATCTAATATAATGTTATACTTTATTATTTTATATAATATAAAATTATAATTGATAAAATTATATGATTATATATCTGCAGGAGGTCCTAGAACCAATCTCCCTGGTAGGTTTTGAGAGATTGAGGTCCTAGAACCAATCTCCCTGGTAGGTTTTCAGAGATTGTCTCTCTCTCAATCTCTCTCTCGACACATATATATATACACACACACACTTATGCATGTGTATATATATACACACACATACATGTATACGCATACACACATGTATATTCATACATGCACACGCACACACATGTGCACACATGTATACATGCATATGTGCAGATATGCACATATACACATGCACAC